CCGGCATGTGGAAGGAGTTCGTCGACGGCGGCCGCCGCATGCCCTTGCTCGACTGGCCGTTGCGCTTCGCCGCGTCCTCCTCGGCCTTGCGCCGCCGCAGCTTCTCGTTCTGGGCGTCGCGCCGCTCGCTGCGCAAATCATAACCCTTGCGCTTCGACTCGTCGCTGAGGAGCACGTAGGCCGCCTGGACCGCCGCGAAGAGCACCGTCGTCTTGTTCGCGTTCTTGTCCGGATGGTGCCGCAGGGCCAGCTTCCGGTAGGCCTTCTTGATCGCGCCGCCGTCGCAGCCGCGCTCGAGGCCGAGGCACCGGTAGGGGTCCTCCGTCAGCGCGCGCAGCAGCCTGTTGAGCGCGGGCGCGCCGTTCTCCGTCGGGACGCCGCCGTGGTCGCCGCCGACGCAGTGGAGCAGCGACGACGCGCCGCTCCGCAGCGAGTCGCCGTCGCCCTTGCGCAGCAGGGCCTCGGCCTCGCGCACCTTGGCCGACGGCACGACCTCGATGTTCATGGCTCGTCGCGCGGGCCGCGATGCGGCGTCACGGCGGCGCCGCGCTCAGCGCGCCGCCAGGGCTGGAGCTGGAGCGGTTCGCGCTCGGCGAGGCGCGCCGGTGCTCTGAGCCGCGCGGCGGCGGGCTGCGTTCGACGGCGCCGCCGCCGGGCGTCTGCGACGCAGAGGCGTATCGCTGGCCAACGCCAACGCGACGCCGCGCTGGAGGTCTGTCTGTAGGGCGGGGCAGCCCTTTGCAGCGGACTACTTGGAGAAGTTTGAAATGATCTTTCAGGGGAGGTGCACTCAACATGTTCAGAGGCAGCCCGCTTCGCGGCGCGGATCCCTCGCCTCGCCGGATTCTGCCGCTGCTCCGCCGCTTGCCATTGGCACCGCTCGACATCGCCGCGCCACCTTGCCTCTCCTTCGACATTCTTTTGGAGGCATTGATCACACGAGAATGTCGTCCGCCCTCGTCGCCTGCCTCGCACTCGTAGTCCCCCGCGCCGCCGCCCACGGCGCGTGGAGGGCCGTGGAGCCCATGCCCGTCGCGCTCTCCGACTTCACGGCGACGCCGGCGACGAGTGCCGACGGCGACGACGTGGTCGTCGTCGTCGGCGGCTGCGACGACCACCAGGTGAGCTGCGACTGGTGGGACGGCTGTTCCTACTGCCCGTCCGTCGCCGCGGCCGCGCGCGCGTTCGACGTCGCCGCGGACGCGTGGGTCGACCTCGCGGCGCCGCCGCGGCCGCGCTACCGCCACGCCGCAGCCTACGACGCGGAGAACAACCTGGTCTACGTCGTCGGCGGCCGCGACGTCGACGACGGCCTCGTCGAGGCCGTCGACGTCTACGACGTCGCGGCCGACGCCTGGACGACGCTCCCGGGCGTCGCCGTGGCGCGGTCGGACCTAGGCGCCGTCGTCCACGGCGGCGCGCTCCTCGTCGCCGGCGGCTACGACCTCAACTACACGGCCTACGCGACGACGCTCCGCGTCGACGTCGCCTCGGGGGCGGTGGCGGCCGGGCCGCCGCTCCTCGAGGCGCGCGGCGACTTCGGCTTCGCGCTCCTGGGCGACGTGGCGTACGCCGTCGGCGGCTGGAGCCACGAGGACTGGTGCGCGCCCCTCGCGTCCGTCGAGGCGCTCGACCTCGCCGCGGACGGCGCGGCGTTCGGCGCCGCGGCGCCGCTGGCCGTCGCGCGCGGCGACAAGGCCCTCGCCGCGACGGGCGAGGCGCTCTACGTCGTCGGCGGCGAGCACAACAACGGCTGCGCGACGGGCAGCGCGCCCGTCGACGACGTCGAGGCGCTCGGGGACGGCGCCGCGGCGTGGTCCGTCGAGGCCGACATCCCCGAGGAGCGCTTCCGCACCGCGGCGGCGGCCGTCGGCGACTACCTCTACGTCTTCGGCGGCCAGGCGGAGGAGGCGACGTCTCGCGCTGTGTGGAAATCAACCAGTGGAACGCCCTGTCCAGCAAAAACTTCAAACCTCTCTATCTCGGTCAAATCGAAGTCGATTTGGCTGATTTTTGGACGAATCGATTGCTCTCGTCGGGTTCTCGAAGCACAGCCGAAAAGCTTGCGTCGAAACTGTCGCATACGCACACATTGAAGTAGGGTTGAAGATTTGATTTCCACACAGGTCCTGCGAGGGCTTCGCGTACTGCTTCCCCGTCACGGACCACGTCTGGCGCCTGTCGATCCACTCGCACGACGACGAAGGGAGCGACGACGGCGACGACGACGACTTCACGGACTCCGTCGCCTTCGCGACCGCCGTCGCCGTCGCCGCGGTCCTGCTCCTCGCCGTCGCCGGCGCCGCGCTCTTCAAGGCCTGCGGCACGCCGGCGCCGTCGTCCGAGGACGCGCTCCCGATCAAGGGCGAGGTCGAGCTGCCGGACGGCGAGGACGTGTCGGCCGTCCTGTGAGGAGGACGCGTCGGGCGTCCTGTGAGCTGCGGAGGACCGTCAGCCGTCCTGTGAGGCGCGCGCCGAACCCGCCCGCTTCGAGCCTCGAGGCGGCGCCGGCTCTAAACGACGGCGGGTTTTATAGGAACGCACGGCGCGGGGAGCGGGGGCCCCTACTTCCAGAGCTTCTTGAGGGAGACGTCGCCCTCCATGTCCTTCTTCATGACCTTGGCGACGGCCATCTCGAAGTCCTCCTGCGTGACGTGGATGCGGCGCTCGCGGAGCGCGAACATGCCGGCCTCGGAGCAGACGCCCTTGCACTCGGCGCCCGACGCGTTCATCATCTTGTCGGCGATCTTGTGGAGGTCGATGCCCCGGAGCAGATTCATCTTGCGGCTGTGGATCGTCATGATGTCGACGCGCGACGCGGACGTCGGGTTCGGGAACTCGATCTTGCGGTCGATGCGGCCCGGCCGGAGCAGCGCGCTGTCGAGGATGTCGATGCGGTTCGTCGCCATGATGACCTTGATGGACTGCGTCGGCTCGAAGCCGTCGAGCTGGTTGAGGAGCTCGAGCATCGTCCGGCCGACCTCGGAGTCGCCGCCCTCGCCGCCCTCGCCGCGGCTCGACCCGATGGAGTCGACCTCGTCCATGAAGATGATGGACGGCGCCGCCTCGCGGGCCATGACGAAGAGCTCGCGGACCATGCGCGACCCCTCGCCGATGTACTTCTGCACGAGCTCCGCGCCCGAGACGCGGACGAACGTGCAGTCCGTGTGGTGCGCGACGGCGCGCGCGAGGAGCGTCTTGCCCGTGCCCGGCGGGCCGTAGAGGAGCACGCCCTTGGGCTGGGCGACGCCCAGCGCGTCGAAGAGCTCGGGGTGCTTGATGGGCAGCTCGATGACCTCCTTGATCTCCCGGATCTGCTTCTCGAGGCCGCCGACCATGTCGTAGGTGCTGTCGGGCACCTTCTCGACCTTCATGAGGCTCACGAGGGGGTCGACCTTCGTCGGCAGGATCTTGTGGAGCTCGTAGGAGTCGTTGCGGAGCGCGACGCGCGTGTTCGGCGTGCACTTGCCGACGTCGATGCCCTTGCCGAGGTCGACGACGTACTTGCCCTCGGGGTTCACCTTGACGAGGATCTTCGTCTGCGACATGGCCTTGACGACCTCGCCGACGTAGGACCCGGGCTCCTGGAGCTCGTGCAGCTCCTCGCCTGCGCGCGCGCGCGTGCGTCTCTCGGGGCCGCGGCGAAAACGCGGACGCGGCGCGACGCGCGGAGCGCGCGCACGCGCATGTTGAGCTCGTTGCGCTGCGCCGTCAGCCGCTGGAGGTTGAGGGTCTTCTCGCGCGTCTCGCGCTCGAGGCCGCCGATCTTCGTCGCGTAGTAGGACGTCATGCCCTTGCTCGTCGACCCGCCGTCGACCTCCATGTTCTCGTCCTCCTTCTCCACGGCCATGGCGAACGCCGCGGGGCGCGGCGCGCGGCCCTCGACGACGATCGCCCGCGAGACGCTGGGCTCGCGCGCAGCGGTGTGCGGCGGCGGCGCGCGCGACCGTCGAAGTGGTGCTGTCCGCGACGGCGCTCGACGCTCGAGCTCGGCCCGCCGCAAGCGGCTCGACTCGTTGGCGCCCGCCGTCGTTCGTATCGCGCGTCGCGCTGCCGCGCCGACCGCGTGCACACCACCCGCGAGGCGACCGCCAACAGTCGCGCGCGTTCCGCAAACACCCGCGCACGCCGGCGCGGCGCCGCGCGAGGCGCCATGGACGAGGTCGACAGGCTGCTCGCGGAGGAGGAGCTCATCCCCTGCAAGATGAAGATCGCCGGCGCGGGCCCGCGCGACGGAATTCCGCGCGCGCCGACGCGACCCGCCGCCCCCCCCGCAGGCGTCGGCATCGGCCACCTCCAGCCGGGCAACCACGGCGCGGACCTCGCCAAGGGCGCGCGGATCCAGGCGCCGCTCTGGCTCGCGCTCGCGCTCCACAAGAAGAACATGGTCGAGCTCGAGTACCCGGAGCACTACAACAAGCGGTGCCGCGACGAGCTCGAGGCCGGCGCGGCGTCCGTGAACCTGCGGCTCTACTCGCAGCACTACTTCACCGTCGGCCTCGACCTCGCGCGGGCCAAGGGCGACGACGCGCTCCGGAGGGAGCTCCGCGCGGGCCTGAGCGGCGAGCGCTACGCCAAGCTCTTCGACTGGTCGACGAACAGCGGCGACCGCGACGTGAGCGAGTTGACGGAGAAGCTCACGACAGAAGAGCGCGCGCTCTTCGACGCCGGCTACGCGGCGACGAACAACGTCGACACGTGGAAGAAGCGCAACCTCGACCAGCTCGACGCGAACCCCGTCTTCAAGAAGGCCGCGCGCAAGGCCAAGTCCTGAGGCGCCCACCTAAGCGGGTCGTAAAGCGCGGCGCCCCGACCAGTCGTCCCGCGGGGGGCCTAGAGGCGCTGGAGGACGATGGCCGACGCGCCGCCGCCGCCGTTGCAGATGGACGCGACGCCCGTGGACTGGCCGTCCCGGGCGAGGCCCAGGGCGAGGGCGCCGACGATGCGCGCGCCGGAGCAGCCGATCGGGTGGCCGAGGGACACGGCGCCGCCGCGCGCGTTGACCTTGGATAGGTCCGCGCCGAGGAGCTTCGCGTTCGCGAGCGCGACGACGGAGAAGGCCTCGTTGATCTCGTGCGCGTCGACGGCGCCCGGCGCGACGCCCGCGTGGGCGAGCGCCTTGGGCACGGCGAGGGCCGGGGCCACGGTGAAGTCGACGGGCGCCGTCTGCGCGTCGGCGAAGCCCGCGATGGCGCAGATCGGCTCGAGGCCGTTTGCTTTCGCGAATCTCAGCGACGTGACGACGAGCGCCGCGGCGCCGTCGTTGAGCTTCGACGCGTTCGCCGCGGTCACGGTGCCGTCCTTCTTGAAGGCGCTCCGCAGGGACCGCAGCTTGCTCGTGTCCTTGGCCGGCTCCTCGTCCTCGGACACCGTAGTAATACCCTTGCGCGTCTTCACGTCCACGGGCGCGATCTCCTCCGCGATGGCGGCCGCGGCCGCGCGCGCGCGCGCGTAGGACTCCTCGGCGTAGGCGTCCTGGGCCTCGCGGCCGATGCCGAAGTCGGACGCGCACTTCTCCGCGCACATGCCCATGTGCTGGTCGCCGTAGGGGTCCCACAGGCCGTCCTTGACGGCGCCGTCGACGACCTTGCCGTCGCCGAGGCGCATGCCGTTGCGGCCCCCGGGCAGGTAGTAGGGGATGTTGCTCATGGACTCCATGCCGCCGCAGACGACGACGTCCCGCAGGCCCAGCGCGATCTCCGTGGCGGCGAGCATCGCGGTTTTCATGCCGCTCGCGCAGACCTTGTTGACCGTCGTCGACGGGATCGCCTCGCCCAGGCCCGCGAAGATGGCCGCCTGCGTCGCCGGCGCCTGGCCGATGTTCGCGCTGACGACGTTGCCCATGAGCACCTCGTCGACGTCCGCCGCGCCGAGGCCGCCGGCGCGGGCGAGCGCGGCCTTGATGGCCACGGCGCCCAACTCCGGCGCGCTCAGCGAGCTCAGGGCGCCGTTGAAGCCGCCGATGGGCGTCCGCGCGTAGGACACGATGACCGGCGTCAGCTCGCCCAGGGCGAGGAGGCCGCGCGACGACATGCTCTGAGATCGCGGAGGCTCGGAGCTCGATTTCCGTGTGGCAAAATCTTGCGGCAAACAGCGAGACTTGCAGTGCAACACGCGCGGCGCCGCGACCGCGTGAGGCCTCGCGTGCGCCCAAGGCCGCCCCGGGGGGCCGTTGCTTTTTTATGGCGCGGGAGGCGAAAACTGGGCGCTATCGCGGGTCGCGGGGGTAGCCGCCGCGGGGGATGGCGACGGTCATGTAGTCGTAGGCCGCGAGGACGCGGTCGCCGCCGAAGGCGCGCCGCGCCTCGTCGACGAGGACGTCCGTCGTGCCCGCGGGCGGCCCGCCGCGGCCCCCGAGGCGGAACTTGGCCGAGAAGTGCGTGAGGACGAGGGCCGACGCGCCGGCGGCGCGCGCGAAGGCTCCCGCGACGGCGCCCGTCGCGTGGCCGTGCGCGCGCGCGACCGCGGCGTCGCCGTCGGCCATCGTCGCCTCGTGGACGACGACGTCCGCGCCGCGCGCGGCGTCGACGGCCGCCGACGCGTCGTAGGTGTCGCCCAGGATGGCCACGCGCCGCGGCCGCGGCGGCGGAAAAGTGCAGTCCGCCGCGCGGACGACGCGCCCGTCGCCCAGCGGTACGTCGTCGCCGTCCTGGAGCCGCTGGTACGCGTCGCCGGGGGGCAGCCCGAGCGCCGTCGCTTTGGCCGCGTCGACGCGCCGCTTGCCCGCCTTCTCCGTGACGACGAAGGCGAAGCAGTCCACGGCCGGCGTGTGGCGGATCGGCGTCGCCGTGACGACGCGCGCGCCGTCGTCGACGATCGTCGACGACGCTCCGCCGTCGACATGCTCGGCGGCGCGGTACTCGACGGCCGGGTGGCTCCGCGGCTTGAGCGGCCGCGGCGGCGGCCGCCGCAGCGTCGACGGCAGCTCCGTGACGATGCACCTGCTCCCGGATTTCGGCGGCGCGAACCGCGAGATCGACAGCGTCGTCGACAGGTACTCGTGCAAGCCCTCGGGCCCGTAGACGTGGAGGTGGCGCCGGCCGCGCTGCTCGAGTAAGGCGCTCACGACGACGCCGGGCAGGCCCCACAAATGGTCCCCGTGGAGGTGGCTCACGAAGATGCGGTCGACGGCGGCGTGGCTCACCGGCGTCGCCAGCAGCTGGCGGTAGGTGCCCTCGCCGCAGTCGAAGAGCCACGTCGAGCCGCGCTTCGCGTGGGCGCCGAGCCGCAAAGCGACGGCGGAAGCGGACCGCGCGAGCGTCGGCCCGCCGGCGGACGTGCCCAGGAAGACGAGCTCCATGCCGCTGAACTCGCGCGGCGCCCGGTGCTGCGGCCGCCGCCGCCGGTCCTGGAAGTCGTCGCAGGAGTAGTGCTCGAAGCACCGCGCCAACGGTGGACACGGCGCGAGGCGCCGTGAGGCGAGAGCGCGAGAGCGCAGCAACATGCTCATGTGCGATGAGCCTCAAGCTGGCGTCAACATGTCGCCTCCTTTACCTGGGGAGCAACGGAGGTGGGGCTGCCAACACCTGCGCGTTACGACGCCCGCGCCGCCGCGGCCATGTCGCGCAAGTCCATGAAGGCGAGCAAGCAGGCCGTGCCCGCGGCGGCGGAGGAGGAGGCCGTCGTCGTGCCCCCCCAGGACTTCGGTGCCAAGGGCGCCGCCTACGCGGAGACCTTCGACGCCTTCCTCAAGCCGCTGCTCCTCGAGGTGCTCACGAAGCTCGAGGAGGCCGTCGAGCTCGACCAGGGCGCCGTGAAACGGCCCGCGGACCCGCGGGCCTGGCTCTCCACCTACCTCCACATCGACAGCTACAAGCGGCAGAACGCGGCGCTCCGGGACGAGGTCGCCGCGCTCAAGGCCAAGGCCGCCGAGCTCAAGGTCCTCGACGACGAGCGACGAGCGAACCTGCCCCCGGAGGACGAGGAGGCCGAGGACGCCGAGTAGGCCGCGCGGGGGTAACGCTCGCATCTCGCGCGCGGCGTTCCTCCGCCGCCTCGGACGTCGGCCATTTCGCGCGCCTCACGCGCGCTTCTTGGCGGCGGGCCGGCGCGGCTTCGGCCGGAGCAGCCGCGGCACGTGGAGCGTCGCGGCGTAGAGGAGGCCGAGGAGCCCGAGGAGCGGGGCGACGACGAGGCCCCCGGTGGCCTTGGCGAGGAGGTACTTGAACTCGGACCGGTCGTTCGTCCGCGGGAATGGCCCCTCCGGGCAGGGCCCCTCGACGACGTCGCCCAGGAAGGCGCAGAGGGGCGCCCAGCCCTGCTTCACGTTGAAGACGAGGAGCCGATCCGCGGGCACGAGTTCGCGCGCGAGCGCCGAGTTGCGCTCGTACGCGGCGACCAGCGCGCCGCGGTCGTCGGCCCTCGTCGGCCGGACGGTGTCGTAGCCGACGAGGTCCGCCACGAGCTTGAGCCACATGCGCTCGTGGCGCCCGAGCGCCGGCACGACGCTCTTCAGCAGCGAAAAGGGGAAGCGGTCGTACAACGTGCCGATGGTCGCGAGGTAGGAGTCGGCCCAGACCTCCGGGCTGTCGCGCTCCGTGAGGATCACCTTGGTCCGCGGACACCGCTCCCGGAACAGCGCGCTCCAGATTTGCGTCGCGCCGACGGGGAAGTCGACGGCCGCGTCGTAGCCGTCGAGGATGGCGTCAAAGTCGAGGGGCTCCACGCCGTGGACGTGGTCGTCCCAGGCCTTGATGTGCGCCCACCCGGTGCTGAGGACCTCGTCCATGTGGTAGCTGCGCAGGCCCAAAGTCTCCAGGGCCGTCTTCAAGGAATACGTTCCCGTTCTCCCGAAGCCGGCGCCGAGGACCTTGACGGGGCACGGGGCCTCCGGCGCGGCGGCCGCGCTCGCAAGTGCGAGCGCGCAGAGCAGGCGTGCAAGCATTGCCGAATGCAGCTGCCGATGCGGGGTGGATTGGATGCCACTGAATTTTCCGGAATTGCCACAGGCAAATGCAACCAAGAGGAAGTCCAAGAAAGTCCAAGAGGCTACCAAGCTTCATCGATGCACGTTGACGGCACGGTCGGCCCACTTACCCGCGAAGACGACGTACGCAAAGAGGAGGCGCAGCGCGACGGCGCCGGCCCGCATACCCGCGGCCCCAAGTTAGGCGAACAGGAGGCGCGAGGCGAGCGCGACGGCGCCGGCCGTCGCCGCGAGGGCCGCGGCCGCCGGCAGGGCCGCGTCGCCGCGGCGCTTCCGCGGCTCCCGCGCCGCGCGGCGCCGCCGCGCGCGGCGCGTCTCGCGCTTGAACGTGTCGTAGAGCGCCTGGAGCTTGAGGCGCCGCGCGGCGTCGTAGCCCGGCGCGCGCGGGTCGTAGGCGGCGCGCCAGTCGCGGGACGCGGCGTGCTCGCCCGCGACGACCCAGGCGTCGGGCTCGACGACGAACGCGAAGCCGCGGGCGTGCAGCGCGAAGGCGTGCTGGACCTTGTTGAGCCCGTAGCCGCGGAAGCGCGCGTCGAAGCGCGGGCACGTCGCGGCGCGGACGAGGACGTAGGGCTCGAAGCCCTCGGCGTAGCGCGCCTCGTAGGTTTCGCGCGCCGCGAACCAGCGCCGCGAATCCGTCGGCCCGTGGCCCGCCGCGTAGCCGCCGCGGCCGAAGCGCGTCGCGTGGAAGGGCTCCGCGTCGCCGGCGTCGACGGCCGCGCGGAGGCCGGCCTTGGACGCGACGGGCGGCGCGGCGCCGGCGCGGCTCTCGAACGCGGGCACGACCAGTGCGTCGCGCGCGCCGACGCGGCGCCGCTCGAGGACGTCTCGCGCGCGCCGCGACGGCAGGAAGTCGACGTCGAGGAGGAGCGCCTTCTCCGTCGCCACCGCGGCCAGCGCCGCGTTGCGGAGCGCGTTGACGGGGTAGCCCGCCGCGCGGCCCGCGTCCTCGCGGTAGAGGACGAGGTCGACGGCCGCGGCGGGGTTTGCGGCCTCGGCGCCGCGCGCGGCCGCGACGGCCGCGGCCGCGTCGCCGTCGCCCCGGACGAGCACGGCGCAGCACGTCGTCCCGCCCCAGGCCGCGGCGAGGGCTGCGAGCCGCGGCAGCCGGTCCGCGGAGCACTGCGTCGCGACGGTCACGGTGTCGCGGGGCCGCCGCCGCGGCGACGGGACCAGAGTCTCGAGCGCGCGGGGCACGGGCCAGTCGGCCGCGGCGGCGTGCGCCGCGACCCCGGCGACGTCGCGCCACCGGCGCCGCCGGCCGCTCGCGACGGCCGGCGCGGCGCCGCCGGCCCCGCCGTCGCCGTCCCAGAGGTCCTGGGGGCACCCGGCGTACGCGTCGACCGGGAAATCCGGCGGCGCCTCGTAGCCGCCGTCCGGCGGCGGCGGCGCGCTCGGATCGTAGCCGCCGTCCGGCGGCGGCGGCGCGGTCGGGTCGTACCCGCCGTCGACGGCGTAGGCTTCCGGCGGCGGCGCGTTCGGGTCGAAGCCGCCGTCCGGCGGCGTCGCGCCGGGGTCGTAGCCGCCGTCGACGGCGTAGGCTTCCGGCGGCGGCGCGTTCGGGTCGTAGCCGCCGTCGGGCGGCGGCCCGTCGGGCGGCGGCTGCGGGATGTCGGCCTCGGGCGGCGCGTCGGGCGCCGGTTCCGGTTCTTGGAAGTCGTCGGCGACGGGCTCCCCGCCGTGGTCGTGGTGGTGATGGTGATGGTGGTGATCGTGGAAGTGGTGGCGAGAATGGAAGCCGTAGTCGCCTACGAAGACCGCGCGCGTCCCGACGGGAACGCCCCGGGAAAAATGAAAACGCCGGCGACGCGCCGCCGTGCCAGTATCGATAACGCCGACACTCCCACGGGTCGTAGTAGTAGTAGTATCCGTCGTCGCCGTAGTAGTTGCGCCGGGGCCGGCCCGCGAGGGAGATCGCGCCGAGCCCCCCCACGAGCGCCCCCACGCCCGCGGCCGCCGCGTAGCCGCCGTAGCCCGCGCCGTGCTGCTGGTTCGTCTGATAGTGCGGCTGCTGTTGCGGCGGTTGCTGATAATTGTTGATGACGATCGGCTGCTGGCCCTGCGGCGGCCGCGAGCCGCCCGGCGAGCCGCGGGGCGGCCGCTGGCCGTAGGGCTGGGGCTGCTGCGGCGGATAGCCTTGCTGCTGCGGCGGATAGCCTTGCGGCGGATAGCCCGGCTGCGGCGGATAGCCCGGCTGCGGCGGATAGCCCGGCTGCGGCGGGTAGCCCTGCTGCGGCGGGTAGCCCTGCTGCGGCGGGTAGCCCGGCTGCGGCGGGTAGCCCTGCTGCGGCGGGTAGCTCGGCTGCGGCGGGTTGCCCTGCTGCGGCGGGTAGCCCTGCGGCGGCGGATAGCCCTGCTGCGGCGCGTAGCCCTGCGGCGGCGGATAGCCCTGCTGCGGCGGGTAGCCTTGCTGGGGCGCGCCATATTGGGGCTGACCGTAGGCCGGCGGCGGCCGGGCGTACGGGGGCGCAGGCTGGCCGTATGCCGGCGGCGGCGCGTACTGTTGTTGAGGCTGGGCCGCCAAGGCCGGACCGGCGCCGCCGGCGCGTACCGGGACAGCCGTGGCGACGGCGACGGCGGCCTGCTGGGGCGCCGGGAGCGGCACGCGGAACTGCATGCCCGGGCGCACGCCCTGCGGGACGATGACCTGGAGCCGCTGGCCGTCGGGCGCCTGGATCGTGAGCCTCGCGCCGGGCCCGGCGTTCCCGGGGCAGGTCACGGACATCATCTGCTGGCCCTGGGGTGCAGAGTAGGCCGGGTTGTAGGCCGGCGGTCGCATTCCGAATCTCTCTCCCAGACTCTGATAGCAGAAGGCTGCCCGAAGGCAACAATAGATCAACAATGCAGTGAAATTGACCAAGCATCATGTCCCGAAATCCAATCTGCGAGGTGGCCGTCGATCGCCTCTGAGGGCTGCCCTCTGCGGATCCCGGGCTGATGACGGCGGCGGCGCCCGGTGCCGAGGCCCGGGACGCCCCGGCGGCGGCGTCGCCGCCGTCGAGTGAGAAGAAGGCGCGCGGGTTCCTGCGCGGCAAGGGCGGCAGCCCGTCGCCGGCCAAGGGCAAGAGCGCGGCGACGAACGTCAAGGGGGAGAAGATGACGACGAAGGAGGTCGTCGAGTTCGTCGCGTCCGAGGCGCGCAAGGACCACGAGGACAACGTCTACGAGGACTACCTGAGCGACGAGGCGAAGAAGCGCTTCAAGCTCGCGGTCGTCATGGGCCCCGCGTACCAGCAGCGGCTCCGCATCGGCAAGCTCAAGGTCAAGCTCATCGAGGCGGCGAACCTGCCCGCGGCGGACCTCGGCGGCAAGTCGGACCCCTACGCGCGGCTCATCATCACGGGCAAGAACAAGTACGGCAACGAGTGGACCGAGGAGAAGCGGCAGACGTGGCAGAGCGCGACCGTGAAGAAGTCGTTGAACCCGGGCTGGCACGAGCAGTGCGAGTTCTTCGTGCCGCGCTACGACGCCGTGCTCCGCGTCGAGATCTACGACCTCGACGTGTCGTCCGCGGACGACCTCCTGGGGTCCGTCGAGATCCCGATCAGGGACCTGAGCTTCCTCGGGCTCGTGAAGCGCTGGGTGCCCCTCGAGATCGCCGAGGGCTTCACGGCGGCGTCGGCGGCCGTGCACCTCCACCTCGAGTACGAGGTGAGCGCGCTCGGCGAGGCGTCGTCCATGCTCTGGGCCGAGCAGCGGAAGACGAAGGACGCGACGAAGTTCGACATCAACCTCCTCTACACGAACGGCATGGCGCTGAACAAGGAGATGAAGCCCTACCTGGACGTGGCGACGGCGGCGGAGAAGATCGTGACCTGGAAGGACGAGCGCAAGTCGCGCACGTGGCTCGCGATCTGCCTCTTCGTCGCGTTCTTCATCGAGTACTTCTGGGAGATGCTGCATTTGGCCATCGTCGCGCTCCTCGTCCACAACTACTTCGAGAAGAAGAAGCTCGACGTGATCCGCGCGGAGGCCGCCGCCTGCTTCCAGCGCATCGACGCCGACGGCGGCGGGTCCCTCGACCGGTCCGAGATCGGTCTGGCGATGGCGGAGCTCGCGACGAAGAACGCGCGGCCGCCGCCGCCGGACGACGAGATCGACGCGCTCTTCAAGAAGGCCGACGAGGACGGCGGCGGCGAGCTGGATCTCGACGAGTTCACGCAGCTGTGCATCGACTCGCCGTCGATCATGGGCTTCGACAAGGCCGAGGAGGAGGCCGAGGAGGAGGTCGACGACGAGCCCGAGGACCCCGAGGCCGCGGCGCTGCTCGCGGGCGCGGCCGGGGGCGAGAAGAAGAAGCGGTCGCTGAGCTTCCGGAAGCCCAAGGACGACGGCGACAGGAAGGAGGACCACAAGGGGCCCGTGTCGGGCATCGCGAAGAAGATGATCAACCTCGCCGGCAAGAAGGCGCGTGGAAATCAAATCTTCAACCCGACTTCAATGTGTGCGTATTCGAATGTTTTGACACAGGAACTTTCGCTGTGCTTCGAGGACTCGACGAGAGCGATCGATCCGTCCAAAAATCAGCCGAATCGACTTCGATGTGACCGAGCTAGAGAATGTCAAAGTTTGGTCGGGACGTCCCGAACCAGCGGTCGATTTCCACACAGGCAAGAAGGCGGGGTCGGGCCCCGCGCTCGCGATGCGCCAGCTCGGGGCCACGGCCAAGGACGTCGCCGAGGTCCGCGACTTGTTCGAGTGGAAGGAGCCGAAGAAGACGCTGCCCATTTTGGCGGGCAACGTCTTCATGGTCCTGTTCCACTACGTGACGCCGCTGTGGATGTTCTTCGTGCCCGCGGTCTGCGGCGCCTTCTTCGTGCTCACGGAGAAGCTCAAGGCGCTGGAGCGCGTCGCGGCCAAGGGCGCCAAGGCGCGGAGCCGCTACGTCGAGCTGCGGAAGTTGAAGTTGGGCACGGGCGACCGGGGCGCGATCTCGGTGTTGGCGCACCCGACGGACCGGCCCGTGCTCGCGGAGCTGAGCCGGTCGACGCTGCCGGGCTTCGGCAAGAGCCACAACAAGCGCCTCATCAAGACCGTGGTCACGGGCATCTTCAGCCGCCTCGACGAGGACGGTTCCGGCTCCGTCGACGGCAAGGAGCTCACGGACTTCATCGTCGGCGCGATGCCCAACGCGTCGCCGCGGGCCCAGGCCATGTTCGGCGGCTGCCCGACGGCCGTCGCGCGCGTCGTCGAGCGCCTCGTGGCCAAGTTCGACGTCAACGGCGACGGGGAGATCGACAAGGCCGAGTTCACGGAGATCGTCCGCAAGACGGGCTGCGTCGAGGTGCTGACGCAGGACGAGCTGAGCCGCCAGCTCCACAGCGACGGCGGCCTCCAGTGCGTCAAGCTGCCCACGTCCAAGGCGCTCGCCTTCAACAGCGCGCGGAGCCACGCGACGGCGCTCACGCTCTTCCCCGCGCCCGACAAGCCCGAGCCCAACGGCGGCGGCTACCTCGTCCACGACCTGGCCTACGCGAAGCGCAAGGGCGACAAGGTCTCCGTGACGGGCATCACCAAGGTCGAGCCCGACGCGGCCAAGCTCAACCGCGTCGCGGTGCACGCGCCGGGGCTCTCGCAGCCGTTGCTCTTCGAGGTGAGCCCGCTCTTCCGCGACCCGCTCGTCGACCTCCTCACGCTCGCCTGCACGGGCGTGCCCCTGCCCCTGCCGAAGAACGTCCAGGCCCTGCGCCGCGGCACGGACCTGTCCCTCGACCCGAACCAGCTCGCGGACATCGACGCCATCATCGAGCAGCCGCCCCCGGGCGACGACGACGACCCCGCGAGCCCCGTCGACGCGCGCATGGAGTCCTTCGGCGAGGACGAGTGAAGACCCGAGCCCCCCGTCACTCGTAACGCCCCCTTTACGACGCGCCGCGCCACGCGCGGCGGATCATGGCGCGCGCCGCGTCGTCGGCCGCGCGCGCGGCCGCGTCCTGCCACGCGGGCGGCGGCCGGGCCCGGCCGAAGCCCGCGCCCGCGCCGTCGCGGACGTTCACTGATGACCGCGTCCGCCACATCCACGCCTTCAGCGCGCCGTCGTCGACGGCGGCGAGCGCGGGGGTCGCCGCGCGCATGCGCGCGAGGATCTCGCCGTTTTTGCAGTGGAAGTCGACGCCCTCCGCGATCCAGTCCTCGGGCCGGAGCGGCGGCTGGGGGCCGAGGCCCCGCACCGCGTCGTCGTCGTCGTCGCCGTCGCCGTACGCGTAGGCCGCGAGCATGGCCCCGTCGCCCGCCATGCCCCCGTAGGCCTTGCGCACGAGGAGCGCGAGGCTCAGCGCGTCGCGCGGCAGCTCGCCCGCGCTCCGCCGCCCGTCCCGTCCGCCGCGGCGCGGGTGTTTCGCGAGCGCGGCCGCGGCGGCGCACGCGAAGGCGACGTCCGGCGCCGTCGCGCGGTAGTCCGTGTCCCGGGGCTTGGCGCCCGTCGCGGCCATGAGCCAGACCACCGGCAGCACCGCGGCCGGCAGCGGCGCGCTATCCTCGACGGCGATGATCGGCAGCCGCCGCAGGAGCGCGGCGAGGCCGACGAGGTTCGCCGGCCCGAAGGCGACGCACGCGAGCGCGCGCGCGCTCCGCGCGGCGAGGCCCGCGCGGCCCCGGCGGACGCACTTCTGGAGGTGCGACTGGAGGAGCGTGATCGCGCCGCAGTCGCGGCGGCCGTCGTAGTCGGCGTAGGGCGGCGCCCACGGCGGCGGCGCCGCGGCGCCGGCGGGCGCGTCGAGGGTCAGGGTCACGACGCACTCGGCCGCGGGCGACGCGTCGTCGGGGCCCAGCGCGAGCTTCGTCGGCCGCGAGCCCTCGTAGAGACGCGCCGCGCCGGCGGCGGGCGGCGCCGTCGGGCCGACGGCCAGCGTCGCCGAGAGCGCGCCGGCGGCGTCGCGGGAACAGGCGAAGTGGAGCCGGTAGGTCCGCGCCGCCTTGATGCACCACTCCGTCGCGCGCCGCGGCCCGCCGCGGCGCGGCGCGGGCGCCGCGGGCGTCGCCGCGGGCTTCTTCGCGGCGGGCGCGCCCGCGGCCGTCGACGCGCGCTTCTTCGCGGCGGGCGCGTCCGCGGCCGTCGACGCGCGCTTCTTCGGCAGGAAGATGCCCGCCAGCGGCTTCGCCGTCGGCGGCGCGGGTGCCGCGGCCGCGGGCGGCGCAGCCGGAGGCGCGGTGGATGACGCAGCGCTCGTCGGCGCCGCGGCCTCGGGCGCAGGTGGCGCAGTCGGAGGAGCACTGGATGACGCAGTGCTCGGCGCAGCGCTCGGTAGCGGACCCGCCTTCGGCGTGCCGCACGCGTCGCACGCTAGCCACTCGTCGTTGCCATTCTGGAGAGTACAGAGGGCACAAACCCACATCGTTTAGTCAGGATTCTCGAGCCAGCCATCGGCCTGGTTCGAAAAAGTCGATTGAAGTGGTGTTGCCTTCGACAATCCGTCGACCTCCCCTAGATGATCTAGTAGATCATCCCGAGAAACGTACCGACCATGAGCCTTACGCGCCCGCGCCGTCGCCGAGGGGCGCGCACGCGAACTTGCCGAGGATGTGGTACTCGACGCCGACGCCGATGCGCCCGCGGCGCTTGACGACGAGGCCGCCGGCGCCGACGTTCAGCGCCGAGTCGGCCGCGACGCCCGGCCAGGGCCCGGGCACGACGGCGCCGTCGGGCATGAGGCGCTTGACGAATTTCACGCGGCGCAGCGCGACGTCGCGCGCGTCGACGAGGTCCACGCGCTTGCGGAAGCGCAGCGGCGCGCCGAAGGGCGTCAGGTCGTCGCCGTGCTCGTCGAAGTGCGCGTCGAGCGCCGCCTGCCGCGTCTTGAGCAGCGCCTCCGCGTCCGCGAGCGTGTCGGCGCCCGCGTCCAGCTCGGGCCGCTGCCAGACGGGCGCGTTGAAGAAGACGCGGCCCGCGGGGAGCTCGACGTCGTTGCGCGCGCAGGCCTCCGGGAACTCGAGCCAGAACCGCAGCCGCGCGGGCCGCTCGCCGGGCTTCGGCGGCGCGACGCTCCACGCGCCGCCTTTTACCTTCACGTTCACCGTGCCGCCCGCGCCGACGAAGGTCGATTCGCCGAGGGGCCGGACGCGGAAGCATGTCCTGCCGACGAGGGGCTCGGGCTCGCCCAGGTACTGGTCGGCCGTGAACTCGCACGACACGGGCAGCAGCAGCCGCGCGCCGCTCGCGGCCCAGTCGTCGGGCATCCACGTGCCGGATTCGCGGCCGACGTTGAGCGCCAGGCGCCAGGAGGCCGTCGTCGCGATCGGCGCGCTCGCTTGCGGCGCCTCCTCGGCGTCGGCCGATGCGGTCTCGTCGGCAGCTGGAGCTGCGGCATCGCCGGCGGCCGGCGGTGTGGCACCGGCTGCGGCTGGCGCTGTGGCATCGTCTGCGGTCACCGGCGCCTCTGCATCAACATCTGCGGCGCGACGCGCGACGCGCGCGAGGACGCAGCGATGCGACGGTACGAGCGCATTGCCGCACGCGAGCAGCGCACCGATCGCGGCGCACGCAGCGCTTGAAGACGCTCGCATCGGCCTCGAGTCGGCGCCTGCCGAGGCAAAGAGTCGCTGTTTGCCACAAGATCAGCTCTTTGCCGTCAGAGTGCCTCCTCGCAGCTGATCAGCTGAGGTGTGGGCGCGACGCCATCCCGCTCGACGCGAAACGCCATCCCGAAACGCGTCATCATCCCGAAACGCGTCATCCCGAAACGCGAAAATGCCGCCGCCGGAGAAGAAGAAGCGCGACAAGCCGATGAACGTCGACCTGCTCTGCAAGATGGCGGAGAAAGAGCTCGAGTGCCGGATCACCACTAAGGACGGCACGAAGCTCGAGGCGCGCACGGCGAACCTCAAGGGCGGCTCCGTCGCCGTCGTCATGTGCCCGCCGCTGCCGCCCAACGGCAACTGCTACGTGCCCGAGATCGGCGTCACGCAGGCGAAGCTCGCGCTCGCGGGCTACTGCACCGTGCGCTTCAACTTCCGCGGCGTCGGCGCGTCCGAGGGCGCGACGTACTTCCGGAGCCCGCTGCGCGAGTGCGAGGACGTGCGCGACGTCGCGCGTTGGCTCCACGCGTCGCGGAAGCACCACGGCCTGCCGCCGCTCGAGTCCGTGTGGATCCTCGGCGTGTCCTACGGCAGCGCCATCGGCGCCGCGGCCGCGGGGCTCTTCGACGAGTTCGCGGGCTACGTGGCCGTGTCCTACCCCGCGAGCTACCTCTGGTACTGCTGCAACCTCCAGGGGGAGACGTACCTGAACCACGCGCGGTGCGCGAAGCCCAAGCTCTTCCTCTGGGGCGACGTCGACGTCTTCGCGGGGAAAAAGGTCATGCGAGACGTCTACGCCTCCATGCCCGAGCCCAAGGAGAAGGCGTCCGTGGCGACGCTCGACGCGACGTTGGGGCACTACTTCCGGTCGAAGGAGCACCTCAAGTTCCTCAACGATAAGACGCTCGCCTGGTTCAAGAAGAACGCGCCGACGCTGCCGCCCCGGACCCTCGAGCCGCCGCCGAGCCCGCCGAAGCCCTTCGCCCTGCCGCCCAAGGCGCCCGCGCCGCCCGCGCCGCCGGCGGAGGACGCGAAGGACAAGGGCAAGAAGCCCAAGCCCCGCAAGTCCAAGGCGAAGTAAGGTCCGGCTGTTTTAGCGAAGTCGCTGGGCGGCGACCGAGAGAGCGGCTAGCCGCGGCTCGAGAGCCTGGGCCGTGGCCCCGGAGCAGCGCCATAGTAGGGAGCGGCTAGCGCCGCTAGCCTAGCGGCCGCGGCCGGCGGACGACGTCGCGACCGACCAGACGACGCGCACCGCCCCCAAAGAAGCGTGGGTAGGGACGCACAGCGGACTCTACGTCGCGATCCTGGGGCCCCGCCCGGGCCCTCGGTGTCGGTCTCGCCGCGGCGGGCGGCCTCGCGGCCGCCGTCACGGCGGAGGCGGCGGGTT